TTTTTTAAAAAAAGTCTGAAAATATTGAATTAATCAAAGGCTGAAAAAGACTGAGAGAAGGCTGCATAAAAATGTGATTGAAAACCACAAAGAGATGGGCCGGCCCGGTGGCGCACTGCGCTAGTGCGCCGCTTGGGAAGCGCGGCGGCGCTCCCACCGAGGGTTCGGATCCCACATACAGACCGGTTCCCGCTCACTGGCTGAGCGAGGCGCGGGGGCAACACCGAGGGTTGCGATCCCGTTGCCGGTCCCGGTCCGGTACGGGGGCGACACTGAGGGTTGCGATCCGTTGCCGGACATGGAAAAAGAAACAAAAAATTCAGTGATTCTGATGGATGCTTAATTCTTATATTGAAAAACCCAGATGAGAAGTCTATTCTCCCACAGTAGAGTTTAGCTCTCTGATCGTATGAATGATCAGCTCCACCAGATAGTATTTCTTCCCTTTGAAAGAGCTAGATATACACACATTTTTACATGTCAGGTTTCTAACTTGGGCAGCTGGGTGGTTGGTAATACCTTTTACCAAGATAAGGGGAAGAAGGTATGAATGATCAGCTCCACCAGATAGTATTTCTTCCCTTTGAAAGAGCTAGATATACACACATTTTTACATGCCAGGTTTCTAACTTGGGCAGCTGGGTGGTTGGTAATACCTTTTACCAAGATAAGGGGAAGAAAATATACATTTTGGAGGAGAATGAATTAAGTTTTGATTCTGTTGCGTTTGAAATATATATAGTATAAGAAAGATATCTAGTAATCATTTGCATATGTAGGTCTGGATTTTTTAGAGCAGTATGGCCCATAGATACAGTTTGGGAAGGAATCAACAAACAGGTGGTAATTAACCCATGCGAATAAAAGAGATAGACCTGAAAGTACATATAAAGTGAGAAAAAGACCTGGGACAGACCTTGTTGGACCTCAACTTTTAAGTTCAGAGGAAGAGGCTTCTGTAAAAGTATAGTGAGAAAAAAATGACTAGAGATTCAAGAATAATACCAGGGGAGTGTTATATTATGGAAGCCAAGGTAAAAGAATGCTTTAAGGAGTGTGATCAGCACTGTTAAATAGTACAAAGAAGATGGAATATGAGGAGAACTAAAGCGTCTGTTGGAATAAGGAGACTGATAGTGATCTTAGTTAAGATCACTTTCAGTAGAATGGTGGGAGTTGACAAGATTGTGGTTAATTGGAGGCAGTGGATGTTAGGTATGGAAATTAAGTTTAGTGAAAATGAACAGTCCTTAAAAGAAGTATGGCTTAGAAAAAGAAAAGCAAAAACAAACAAACAAAAAAACCAGGGGTAGGGAGGCATGGGTTTCTAGTCCTATTCTTTAAAAGAGGGGGGAAATTTATTATTTCAATTTATTAACTGTACAAATTTTAAAGTACTTCATTGCTGGCAGTGGGCATATAATGGTGAGTAATTGGCTGTGCTAGGTTATGCCTCTGAGGCTGATTGCATGTCTCTTGAAGAGCCCAGAGGTTAGATAGCAAGAAAGAGTACATATACACATAAAAAAATGTGGAAACCTAGGTGCTCTAAGGAAGAAGACAAAACTACTTTCTCCAAAAGCAGGAACTTGAAAGAGGAGGCATAGAGAAAGGAGCAGTGCATAATATGAACATAATGGTGAATCTGAGACCTTATTAAAGAATCCACTCTGTAAGTAGTACTTAACTGGTCCAGGGAAAGATTCCATCTTAAGATTCCTTTATATTGCCGGGAAATCCCTGGGTTTCATGCAACATTTTTACATAGCAGAGCAATAATATTTTGACACTGCAGCTTTAACTATTGGTAAGTAGGATCTGGAGATTCACCAATAAAAAAAGGTGGACATATTATCATATAACCCAAAGAGAATAGAAATCATAATCTATAGTCAGTATAGCAGGTAGATTACATTTATAAACATGTTGACTTTGCTGATTTGGTGTTAAAATATTAGTGGTAGAAAATAAGAACATTTGTATTTACTTACTTTTGAATGAGGAACACTGGAAGGATATGAAAGAAACTAATGTAAAGTTAATTGAGGGAGTAGTGGGTGGGAATATGGCTTTTCACTGTATACTTTTTTATTGAAAATAATATCTACAAAAACCAACAAAATTAAATTTAATAGCAAATACGTAAATACATAGAATAAAGGAAGATGAAGGCCCATGAATTCTGGTTTTCAATGTGTTCTTTAATTTTTCTATTAATAGTGAAAAGGACTTTTTTCGTCTAATATTTTATTCATTTGAAACATTTGAATTTCCATACGCTATTTTTATAGTAACTATTCTATAGCATGTACTATTCAAAATAATTTAAGAATCCTAGAAACGTTTAGTTTTGAGATAATTATGGTTTCAAATGCATTTGTAAAAAATAATAGAGGTCCCCAGGATCTTCTCCTCCTAGCCTTCCTTAATGGTAACATCTTGTGTAACTATCGTACCTGTGCAATATTACAACCGAGATACTGACATTGGTACAACCCAACCAACTTATTCAGATTTCATCAGTTTTTACATGCATGCATTTTTGTATGTATGTATTTAGTTCTATGCAATTTTATCATGTGTATTGACTTGTATGATAACCACCACAGTCAGGTTACTGAAAGGATTCTAGACTTTTAAGAGAACATTGATTTTGACTCATAAAGGCATTGTAATAGATTCTTTTTTTCCTTTTAAGTGTTTTGGAACAACACAAACTGACAAAAGAACAGTGGGAAGAAAGAATACAGAACTGGCATGAAGAACACAGAGGAATGCTAAGGTATTTGGGGCTATTTTCTACATGTTTTTCCTTAAGTTAAAGTATTTTTATTTTATAACTTCTGTTATTACATCAGATTATCCCCAAAAGATCATTTGACTTAATCAATAAATATAAAGCACTAAATTTTAATCCAAGATATTTTTGCAAGTTTAGTTTGATATTAGATACTCCTACTTGCATATATTACATTTAGCTTTATTTCAACAGGGAAGATTCTATGATGGAATACCTGAAGATTGCACAAGATCTAGAAATGTATGGAGTCAACTATTTTGAAATAAAAAATAAAAAGGGAACTGAATTGTGGCTAGGTGTTGATGCTTTGGGCCTGAATATTTATGAGCATGATGACAAGTAAGTAAATAAGTTGCAATAGTCATTATTCAGTGGTCTAAATAGCTTTAATCTTATTTTCTGTTTGTAAAAGTTGTTTCTTGTCTTGATTACTCTTACCGCTTTTATTCAAATTAAAAGATTAGTTAATGTCCCATAGACTTGCAGAGCACCTTGCAGTTTCAGAGTTCTGTTTCTCAGTGTATTTATCAAATAGTATGATTTATTTGAAGTGTGCTTCTTTATCTCTTGTGAGTTATGTCTAGTAATTTAATTAAAATTTGTTCCCTCAATAGATGAAGAATAATTCCTTAAATGTTACTATGCCTCACAAAAAGGTTGAGATTGAAGTTAACATATATAAGAAGTCAGGGGCAATGAGAAAATGAAATTAATAGACGTGTGTTTATTATATTTTAGAACACATTTTTTGAACATTTAAACATATGAGTTTTGGATAATTTTAGACATCAGTAAAATAGAATATCCCTGTATTATGCATAATGAACAGTGTGATTATATTTTAAAATTAACCATATGTATTTATTTTTTATTATACATATGTATACACAATCAGTACTGTATTATACATATATAATATATAGTATGTATGTATGATATATATAGACTACATGTTATATAGATACAGTACAATAGAAAATACATCAGACTCTTATAGCATTTTTCAGGAATAATAGCTACAATTATCTTATACCTTTCTTTAATTTACTTACCATACCACATAACATCCAATTCTATGCCAGTAATCCTTCTCCTAGGCATTATTGTTTATTCTGGGTTGGCTCTAGAATTTTAGTTTTCGTTATTACAGATATCTAATAAAATATACAGTTCAAAGCATGTATAATGACTCCAAAAGAGAGCATTTTAGTAATTTTACCTTAGTATTTCCCCAGGTTTATATTATAAAGCAAGTTAGAATGTTGTATTGTTCAAAAGAGAATATTTTGAAATTTTTAAAAAGCAAAAATGACTTCAAGACTAATTTTTTTGAACCAGATCTTTTTCTTTCTTTTTAAAATTGTTGTATTAGTTTCAAGGCTCCCGTCACAAGGTTGTTTTGAGAATTATATGAAGCAATTGCTTTAAAATTTTTCAAAGTAGCACATAAATGTAGTTTAATATCACCTTAAAAATATTGTGTTCTGCAGCCTCCTTAGTTTACTTTGACTTATCTCAGTGGCCATTAGAGGGCAGTATAATACATGCATATTGAGTGAAGAATGTGTTACGTAGAAAAAAGTATTTGCTGTGCTGCAGTACCTAGGCTGCTTAAGAATTAAAAAGATAATAAGTAGGTAAAAATTCATGCTCTGTTATCAGAAGCCAGACTAAAAGATGTGTTTTGGCTAGTGTGTCAAAATCATTTCTCACTCTTGTTATTAGGACAGCAGTGATGCATTTGATGGATAGTCTGAAACAGTAAAATATGTGAAAAGGCAGAAACAAAATTACTTATTCCAATCTGATGCCCTATATCTTTGAGTGTAGGGTGGTTAAAAAAGGGGGAGGGGGCACCTGTTGTATAGTTTAAAGGTGTAAATTCTAGCTTTACCATCTATCTATATATTCGTGTATGTGAGTGTTTAAACTTTTTATTGAGACATAACTTACATATCACAAAATTAATCCTTTTAAAGTATACTGGAAATTCACAAATATGCAAACATTTTTAAATTGAACAGAAGAAGGAAATAATTTTTTCGTATTCGCTAACTTATGTCCATAATTCACATGAGAAGTTATAAAGGCCTTATTTTTTCCCCCTTCCTTCTTAAACATATTTAAATTGATGGTCATACTAGCTTGAGTCCAAATAGAATAAAAACTAAATAGAGCTAGTATAAACCCCTAGAGGCTCAGTTCTACACTTCAGTCACCAGATAGTTTTTTCCTAAGTAATTTTAGGAAAATAACTACTATGCTTTTAAGCTTCATGACATACTTATGAAATATTTGGGTAGTTATTATTTGTTTTATATGATTCGATTTATCAAGTTTCACCTTAAAATATAATGTCATCAGTATATTATATGAGTAAGTTAATATATTTTGAGAATCTGGAACTCTGAAGGCTGGTCATTCAGTTAAACTTGTCCCAGAAAGTTGTTGGGAATTTTGACCATTGTTTCCTGCCTCTAATTAAAGGGATGCTCTCACTTTTTAAGGTTAACACCTAAAATTGGTTTTCCCTGGAGTGAAATCAGAAATATTTCATTTAATGACAAAAAATTTGTTATAAAACCAATCGACAAAAAGGCCCCCGTAAGTAAAATTTTTTATATGTTTTATTTATTAACTCTTTAAATTTCTGCTGCTTTCCTATGATATCACTTGAATGGCATTATTCATTTATTGAATTGCTTCTGAGGAATATTCTCTTTCCATAGACTTTTTGAGTGATGAAATAATGAATGTTATTAAAAATATAAGGTTTTAATTTTTTTAGAAGATATAAGTATTAGACTTTTAACTGAGATTCAAAAATAAGCTAGGTAATATTTATTAGGAGGTTGTTGAAAACAATCACCATTCTTAAGAAGCAACTTAAAAAAATTTGTGCATTGGTGGCTAGAATGTAGTAGAGGTAGTTCTATTCTAAATTATCTCTTGTTTATAGAGTTTTGCATTGTGAACTTTGTATTTTTGTAACTTGAAGGCTTGAACTTAAGAAATCCTTTTACTTAAATTTTAAAAATTTCTTTGGTGTCAGGTATACTCTAGTATTCTAGCTCATTAGTTATTGAAAAGATAAAAGATAAGGAGATCAATTCTAGGTTAAAAAACTTGATAGCCATGAACAAAGGACCAATTTTGACATTAATGGCTAAGGCAAAACAAACCAAAAAAACCTTCTCCTCTAAGTTGAAAGGAACAGAGCTGCTCATAGTTACTCTGGAGAGAAAAAAAGAATAAATGACATTTAATGTATTGAGAAGATAAGAATATTAGCCTCTTTACAAAACTGGTGGGGTATGAAAAGGTGAGGAACCAGTTATGTGGAAATATGTCATATTTACTAGAAATTATATGACATGTGATATATGTATTACATTAGAATTCATATCTCATGATGAAATTTAGTACAAGATTGTTGTGAGAGAGACTATCCTTCAGGAAGATTTTAAATTAATAGTACTTTATGTTTAGGATTTTGTTTTTTATGCACCTCGTCTGAGAATCAATAAACGGATTTTGGCTTTATGTATGGGAAACCATGAACTATACATGCGAAGAAGGAAGCCTGATACTATTGAAGTACAACAGATGAAGGCTCAGGCAAGGGAGGAGAAACATCAGAAGCAGTTGGAAAGGTATGGAATTTATAGCCTTTCATTTTTAATTGCTAGGAGTGGGCTATCTAAAATTTAAGACTGCTCAGTTTCTTTAGCATACTCTAAATTGACATTTTTACATTATTTTCATGTATTGAAATTGAAAGGACAGTATTATAACTCTGACCTCTTGTAAAATGAATATGTATAATTTTTAAGTTGGCAATCTTTGATATTTCCGAAAAAATAGCTTTTCATGACTTCACTGATGTACTTTTTTTTTTTTACCATTCTTGCTTTTCACTGACAGACATTGTTTTGGATATACTAGTTTGAAATTTCAAATATTTTTCGTTTGTGACTTATATTTCTTAGTTTTTCAGGTAAATATGCTGAATATTTAACTTTGAAGCAATGTTAGTGATGTTGTAGAACTCTACCATTCTTGCTTTTCACTGACAGACATTGTTTTGGATATACTAGTTTGAAATTTCAAATATGTTTTGTTTGTGACTTATATTTCTTAGTTTTTTCAGGTAAATATGCTGAATATTTAACTTTGAAGCAATGTTAGTGATGTTGTAGAACTCAGTTGAAAAGTCACTGTGCAGAGTAGTATAACATTAGTACTGTCTGCAAAAGATATTGATATTTTTAACTTTGTTTCTCTTAGACTTAAAACGATACCATTAAGTATATTAAATTGGTAATTTTTAAAATGGAATGATATTGAATAAAATCCTCATTGACCCTGGAACCAGATTCCTCTGTCCAGCAGCATAATACCCAGATCTGTTTTTAGGTTAATTTAGACTTTATGCTTTATTTGAAAAAATTTAGAGACCAAACTAAAGTTAACCTTTTTTGAGGAAATCTTTATAGAACAACATGATAATCTAAGAAATAAAGTAGGTCTTAAAAAAAAACAAAATTGAGGTTCCCTAAACATGTATAAACATATTTCAAACATATTTGAAATAATATGATTTGTGTCTAGTAATTAAGTAGGTCCTCTGCTAGATATCTTTTTGCTACTATACTTTGCATTTAATGATTTTTTTCTTAAATGTTCTGTGTAATTGGATATTAATTTTACTTATTTTGTAACATTAACTCAATTTGTCTGCCTTAGAGAAGTTAGCTGCTTAACAAAACATTTTTTATATGGACATGAAGTTTGTTAGTAATTCCTTATCCCAACATTAAAGATATTAAGTTGGATTGTTACTTTTACTGAGCTCTGTCCTTTATTTTACTGTTGTCATGTGCCTTAGGATTTCATTGTGGTTGTAGTCTTACATGCTTTTTAAAAATATTTTTTGTTGCGCTTTACTTTTCTATATATTTTTATTCATCATAGCCTTTCATCGACCTCTTTCAGAGGCAAAAACTTTTTATAGTCTTTATTTTTTTAAATCTTCTTTTCCTTAAAGCTTTTACTGTAAGGTCTTCTATCATGAGTTAAAGGAGAAGTTACTTTATGTGCAGTTTTCTGGATCTCATTTGCTCTTAAGTTATTCACATCCAAATCAAATGATGACTGATTCTGTAATTATTGAACAATTTTGTTGGCTCAAATTGTCACCAAAGTTAAAAACTGAGACCCTCATTTACAATTTGGATTCAGATATCTGTGAACCAATTGTAAGTTAGCTATGGGAAATTCTGTGTCATGGCTGGCTACCTGTATCACTAGGACATAGCTAGTGATACAAAGAGAACAGGATTTGGAACTAGATGAATCTGGGTTTTGAATCATCTTCTAACACTTGCTGAACAAGTAACTTTTGAACTTGTGTTCCATTGCTCTTAATACGAAAATAATATTCTTACCTTCAAGGGTTTTTGTAAGAAATAATGACAGTGGTATACAGGCATTTAGCAAACTACTTGGTGCTCAATAAATAGTAGCTATTATAGTAATTATTAATATTATTAATTCATAGTCTGAATATAAATTGAAAACAGGTTAGTTTTTAATATTCACTTAAGAAAAATGTAATTGGACCCATTTGATATTCTTTAAAAAGTAAAGTATTCTAAAATATATTTTTTGCGTGTTAGTACAGAAAACTGGGTTTACTCATATGTTGTGCCCTTGAAATAGAAAAACTGGGTTGAAATGAGTGTTTCCAAACTCAAACTCTAAAGAAAAATATCTACATCTATGGTTGAATAATCGGAAGAAGCTTTATGGTTGAATAATCAGAAGAAACTTTTTGAGTAGGCTTGAAGATGAGAAACAGGCTTGAGGGTTAGAGAGAGGGGAGGTATGTTCAGAAGAGGAAGCCAGCATACACAGATGTGTGGAGGTAAGAATATGCATGGCATGCTTAGGGGCCAGTGAGCTGACCAGTTTAGTCCTCCCAAGTGAACAGTGTTTAGGGGAGAAGCAAGATCTTCCAGTTTCATAAGGGAGACAAGACAGAAAAGACAATATTTTCTCCCCCAACTTGTGACTAAGTTACGGTCTTTTTGTTTGTTTGTTTGTTTGTTTGCTTTCATCTCTCCTTCACCTCCATCCTTGAAGAAGAACAAATGAAACATCAATAGAGAAAAGCTAAATAAAACCAGTTCCCATCCCCAGAAGGGGCCATATATACCATAGCTGGACCTGAAAGGTTCTGAGTTGACAGAATAGGATTATGATTGTAACCTTCAGGTTTTGAGATCTGATTTGTGCTGTAAGTGCTCAAGAAGTGTTGTGTGGCCTTGGGAAAAGAAGGAGTAAGGCAGCTGTCTTGGGTAACTGTGGCAGCACTGGATGTGATTGCACAGAGCCTGGGGAGTGGTTGGGGTAGGCTAATCAACGTCCTAGGGTGACTGACAGCTTGACATGGAGAAGAGTAGCTCTTGGCCACACTAGCGATTATGTGAAAAGTATTATTCTATTGCTCTCAGCTTTGTGCAGAAAGGGCAGCAGCCTCTGTGGAGCCACCAGGCCCTTCTTATGGCCAAGGAATTTGGGAAACTGAAACATTCTCTTAAGCCTTTATCACTCGTGTCTTCTAGGGGGGTGGAAGCTCTCAACTCCTTAAATCTCTTTTTGTCTGTATACACTTTATAGGTTGAAGTAGAGTAAGGAGAGAGATGTGAATGTGCTGCAGAGTGAGACCAAGTCCCAGAGTAGGGTATAGGTACTGGCTTTCTTCCTGGCTATTGAGAAAGTACCTTATAGGGAACCTCAGAACAGAGATGGAGCTCCCCTTGTATGAATGAGCTCCAGGCCCTGGGTTCTTAAATGGTGTAAGAATTCATTAAACCAGCAGGGAGGTGTGTGACCCTTAAACTTCATGGCTTTTGCTTGGTGCACTAGGAGGTCACCATAGTGTCTATCTGACCTCTTGCTAACTTGTGATAACTCTACCCATTTGCCCCAGAGCAGTGCTCTTTCTGTGTTGGAGGTGCATGGATATCTAGTAGCTGCAGGAATTTTAAAATTCAGGTTTATAGAATAAAAGGAAAAAAGCTTTGATAGTAAAACTTTGCTGATAAGTTTATTACAGATTGGAATTTGAGGAACAACATGGTTTTGTACCTGAAATTCATAACTGAGACCAGATGGTAGTGATGTCTTTTTGTGGAACATTAAAACATACTCAGATAAGTTTCAGGGATGAGATCATAACTGATTTTTTAAGCTAAAAAAAAAATTATTCTTTGGGAGGGAGGGGGCGAAAGAGGAGCGGGTAAAGGGACAGGAAAATCAACGACAATGTATACTGAGAAGTTAAAATAAAAAATAATAATTCTCATTAATGTAGTGATTTGAATATTGGTTAAACTTAATAAGTAGAAAATATTATCTGATAACACAGTTTCTCATCTGACTTTTATTCATCTTCATATTTTTGGCCCCCAACAGAGTCTGACCCATGGTAGGCTCATGGTAGATGTTTGATGACTTAGTTTGGCTATATTTAAAAGAAACGGTTTCATCAAGTCTGTGGCAGATGCAGCTAAATGACCGAGACATTTTTTCCCACCAAACTCTGATGATAATCTTTTAAAACAGCATTAACCACCTACTATCATTCTAATGGAATTGTCAAAGGAGATAAAACTGATTTGTCATCTTGTATCTAGGCATGAATGCACGAATGGGTACTACTCAAGAAATTAAGCTGGTATTAATTCATTTTTAAAGATTGAAAATTGTTACCCCCCCCCAGGTTTCTTTTCCTGTTCAGGATACTGGCCTTCGTGTATTCCCTTTAAGCCTTTATTATTTCCCCAAAGGAGGGCTCCTGATAATCTAATGAAGGCAGTTTCTTGGGGTATGGCAACTGTGCAGTTAACTCTTGATGCTGTCATATCATTTGTTGTCAGAGTTCATTCTGTATGCAAATGGTAAATCTCCTATTTTTCCCCATGTTGTTAAGGCAGACTCAAGTCATGCTTTGAACACAAGGGATATAATTGACAGTTATACTTTCGTAGTCTTGTTCTTTGAAAAATTGTCCTAAAATATCCAAGTTTTTAATATTTTTTTAAATAGTCATTGATTGTATTTATTGTGACCCCACAGTAAGAAAGTCATTGGAACCCAGCACATGTAACTATACAAATAAGAGTATGGAACAGGACAGTCCTGTATTTTTAACCATGCAATATATTGAACACAAGTGAATATAATGGAAAACCTGTTAAAGTATTTATGCTGTAGTTTCTTCCTTGTTGAGTCACAGTTAGTATTTAGGTTTCATATAAATAATATTTCTATCTATTAATTTGTAACATGGCAATTGCAATTTCTTTTAAGGGCACAATTAGAGAATGAAAAGAAGAAAAGAGAAATAGCAGAAAAAGAAAAGGAAAGAATAGAACGTGAAAAGGAAGAGCTAATGGAACGTCTAAGGCAGATTGAAGAACAGACAATGAAAGCTCAGAAAGGTAAAAGTTTTTTTTCTGACAGTAGATTGAAAATAGTTGCTCTGTTATCAGACTGTAGTATTTCCTTGCTACTATTGAATTTTATTTGTATAATGTAGTACAGTCATATTGTCAAATGAATACTTGGTGGAATCACATCGTAAACATGTTTAAGGCATATTCGATTACATTGTGCTCATGTTCTTTTTAATTTATTTAAACACATAAAATATTTTTCATGTGTACTCTTGTTATATATTGTAAATGACTATATATATTAATTTATACCTATTACTGTTCAGAGTTCCATAAGCAAAAACACATATTCTATATTTTTTGGCTTTTAAAGAAAAGTATTTATGCAGTGCTTTATGGATATTCAAGTACTTTAAGGCATTTAAGTAGCAACATTTTCAGCTATTTTGACTATATACACTTTTTTGGAGCACAACTCCTAAAAAAGATATGATTTCAGTGTATTAGAAAATATACAACATGTAGACATGTTATGTTTTTTGTTTGTTTTTGGTAACGTGTTTGTAAGAACTTAGTTCCTAGGTGGCATTTAACCGAAATGTTACAGTATATAGAAAGAATCCATTGGATTTGTAATGTGTGGATTATATTAAGTAACGCTAGGATATACTACTTTCACACAGCAAATAGTGGAGAAAGCAAAAGAAGAAAAGTTATTGTGCAAAATAAAATGTTTTGCTTCTCAGGGAGTAACGAGAAATCTGCCCTGTTTATAAAACTAGATTTAGCATCTGCTTTCCTAACAACTAGTAGAACCAGCTATTTATTTCTATTGGAAGTAGCCAATAAACTTATTTAAAGTTTATTTTCATTCCGTACACCAGCCTACTGTGGTGGGGAGATGCTCTTGAGCAGTAGGTAGAATAATTTGTAATTGCGTAGTTAGAGGAGGAAGTCACAAAGATTGCTATAAATCTGTAAGCTGGTTGATCATTCCAATTCCAAGAGCACTGGAAACAATATTTCTAAGAGAAGAAATAGAACAAAAGCCCCTGGGTTTTATTCTGACTAATCGGCAGCCTCACTTCTCAGAGCTATAAAAGACCTAAAAACTAATTTAGTTCAAAGCCCAAGGGTAATAAAGCTTTTGTTTGGAGGCCACAATTCAGGGGCAGAACTTGTCTCCTGAATTCCAACTTGGTGCTGTTTCTTCCACTCTAGGTGCTTTTTTTAATCAATTAAAAGAGACAATTATGATGTGCCTAGATTATGCTGCATTCTAGGAATATAAATACATAGCATACAAAAAAATACGTGTAGTTGGCAAAAATATATACATAAAAATATTAATAAAGTGAGATAATGTGTACAAAGTGACATGTGAATAGTATAAACAATACTTTTAGAGGAAGAATGCTGTTGTAAAAAAAATGGATTACACTAAAATGTGTTTTAAAAGGAAAGTTTAAAAACATTGATGATATTGGTCTGATTTTATTTATTTATTTTTGGCAATGGCCAGTACAGGGATCCAGACCATTGACCTTGGTGTTATTAGATCGTGCTCTAACCAACTTAGCTAAACAGCCAGCCTTTTTTTTTTACTGGTCTGATTTTTAAAGAAAAGATTGAATTATAAAACTTTTTCATTTACATAACACCTTTTCTGAGAAAATATCTACTTACTAAATCTTTCAATCTCATTTATTTAGGTTGTATAATAAAAATATTAATAATTTACATACAGAAAACTCCTCAAGTAAAGAAGCACTAAAAAATATAAGGAAGACAGAACTTAAGAAAGAATATAGAGCATCCCTATCAAGACAATTTCAGATCAGTCATCTTAAGGCAAAGGACATCCAAGTTGTTTTTTGTTTTTGCTTTGTTTTTCTAATAAAGCTTTCACAGGCTACCTTAAAATCTGCATGATTATCTTGTAATTTATGCTAAATTCTCATTCAAATGCAGTAACTTTGCCCATATTTAACTCATGATATTTAGTAGATTAACTTGTAATTTTTCATTGAAGAAGAAACTTTAATACTTTATTATTATTAGAAAAAATTTTTTATTGATGTCTTTATTATTTCATATCAATCATTAAACAGAACTATTTTTCCACTTTACATTTCCATAATGAATTATTGTTAAATTGTTTATCTTTTTTGTCATTTTTTAACCATCTTGAAGATAACGTTGGTAACAATATTTGAGATGTAATATAGCCAGACCTGCATTTGGTTGCCGTTTCAACAAATGTTGAAGTGAATTCCCATTTTCAAGAAGACAAACAATAGGAAAGAGTTGGAGTATAATGATTTCATTCATTCTGGATACTTATTAAGCGCCTTGTGTATAGTAGGCACTGTTCTAAGTATTGCGGATAGAGTACTGAACAGATGAGGAGGTCCCTACTCTCATGGAGCTTACATTTTATTGAGGGAAGACACAGTAATAAATAATAAAATCATTTTATGTGGTTTTAAGTGCTGTCAGGGAAGTAAGCATGATAATGTTTTAAAAGCAGTAGTTGTGGGCAGGAGGGGGATGTCCTTTCTAGATGGAACATGTTATTTACAATTAGGAACAAAGGTTTAATTCTGTCATTAACTTAGAACATGACCATAAGCAAGTCATTTTAACCTCTCAGTTTCCTTACGTTCCTATTCCTAAAATGGATATCAATTATCCCTAACTTAGTGTACTGAGGTTTTTTAAAAATTTATGGTTGTATTTTTTTAAAAAAGAAACTTTTTCATTGAAATAAAGATAGATACAGTAATGTACATAGCTCTTTAGGTGTAAGGCTCAATGAAATTTTACAGAGTATATTTATTCCTGTAACTACCCAGAATAAGATACAAAACATTAACTGCACTCCTGCACTCAGGGAGTCTCCCTTTTACCTTTTCTCACTCATTTTTTTTTTTAACCCCAGCTTTGATTTATATCATTCTTACTTGTATATCATCATAGAGTTTAGTGTTGCCTATTTTTTTCTAATAGCTTTTTGAGATGTAATTTACATGCTGTACAATTACCCATTTATTTTATTTTATTTTTTTCTCTTTTTCATTTTTAATTTTTAAAATTTTTTTTAAAATTTTATTTTGTCGATATACATTGTGGTTGATTATTGTTGCCCCTTACCAAAACCTACCTCCCTCCAGTTTTGATTTGCATTTCCCGGATGCTGAGTGATGTTGAGCATTTTTTCATATGACTGTTGGCCATTTGTATATCTTCCTTAGAGAAATGCCTACTTAGCAGTTTTGATTTGCATTTCCCGGATGCTGAGTGATGTTGAGCATTTTTTCATATGACTGTTGGCCATTTGTATATCTTCCTTAGAGAAATGCCTACTTAGCAGTTTTGATTTGCATTTCCCGGATGCTGAGTGATGTTGAGCATTTTTTCATATGACTGTTGGCCATTTGTATATCTTCCTTAGAGAAATGCCTACTTAGCAGTTTTGATTTGCATTTCCCGGATGCTGAGTGATGTTGAGCATTTTTTCATATGACTGTTGGCCATTTGTATATCTTCCTTAGAGAAATGCCTACTTAGCAGTTTTGATTTGCATTTCCCGGATGCTGAGTGATGTTGAGCATTTTTTCATATGACTGTTGGCCATTTGTATATCTTCCTTAGAGAAATGCCTACTTAGCAGTTTTGATTTGCATTTCCCGGATGCTGAGTGATGTTGAGCATTTTTTCATATGACTGTTGGCCATTTGTATATCTTCCTTAGAGAAATGCCTACTTAGCGTGTATATTTAAATCCTTAATCCATTTTGAGTTGATTTTAGTATATGGTGAGAGGTATGGGTCTAGTTTCATTCTCCTGCATATAGTTATCCAGTTATCCCAGCACCATTTGCTGAAGAGGCTGTCCTTACCCCAGTGAATAGGCTTGGTGCCTTTGTCAAAGATCAAATGGCAGTAAGTGTGTGGGTTGATTTCTGGATTCTCTATTCTATTCCATTGATCAGTGTGTCTGTTTTATGCCAGTACCATGCTGTTTTGGTTATTATAGCTTAAAGTTGGGTAGTGTTATGCCTCCAGCTTTATTTTTTTTGCTCAGTATTGCTTTGGCTACACGTGGTCTTTTATTATTCCATATAAATGTCTGGATACAATTCCCCACTTAAAGTATGCAGTTTAATGGTTTTTAGTATATTCACCAAGTTGTACAGCTATTACCACAATCCATTTTAGAACATTTTCTTTACCCCAAAAAGAAATCCCATACCCATTAGCAGTCACTCCCATTTCAGCCCAGTACTTCCTCCCCCGGCCATAGGCGACTGCTGATCTGCTTTCTGTCTCTATAGATTTGTCTGTTCTGGATGTTTCATATAAATGGAATCATGCAAAATGTGGTCTTTTGTGACTGGCTCCTTTCACTTAGCATAAATATTTCACAGTGTATCCATACTGTAGCATGTATCAGCACTTCATTCTTTTTTAAATGCTGAATAGTGTTCCATTTTTACAGACACAAAACATTTTATTTTTTCATTTATCAGTTGATGGACATTTGGGTTGTTGCCACTGTTTGACTGTTGTGTACAGTGCTGTTCATGTGTTTTCATTTTGAGGGGGTATATACCTAGGAATAGCGGGTGATATGGTAGCTCTCTGTTTAACTTTTTGAAGAACTTCCAAACTGGTTTGTAAAGTTATACCGTATTACATTTCCACCAGCAATGTATGATTTCTCCACATCCTCACCTACCCTTATTAATGTTTGTGTTTTGGATTATAGTTGTCCTAATGGGTATAAAGTGGTATCTCATGGTTTTGATTTGCATTTCCCTAATGTCTAATGATGTTGATCATCTTTTCATGTATTTCTTAGCCATTTATGTATCTTCTTTGGAAAAATGTCTGTTCAAATTTTCTGCCTATTTTCCAGTTGGGCTAATTGTCTTTTTGCTGTTCAGTTATTATGAGGGTTCTTATATATTCTGGACATAGTCCCTTATTAAGAATATGATTTGCAAGTTTTTTCTCCCATTTCGTGGGCTTTTTCAACTTTC